TGAGTCGTAGGCAGCCGGTGGGAAACAACTGGAGAATGTAAAATATAGACTGTGGTTTCTGCTTATTCTGCCTGTCTCATTTGTGGTTTTCCACACTAGGCTGCATTGCTCAAACATTTAGTCTCACAGTGTGGTTTTAACATTTTACATTTAGCACAACAGCCTGAATGAATTTCTGCTATATCCTCATGGAGGTCATCCACCTAGTGCCCTAGTTTTCAGTCTTTACAAAACTGCTCTACTCTGATGGAGGTTTTATTCTGTTTTCATTGGCTCTTCTTTTATTTGTGTTTCAGAGAACCATTGTGCTCAAGAAGAGAGGGCGTAAAAGAAAGAGAATAAACAGCAGTGTTACAACAGAAACCATCTCTGAGACAACTGAGGTGCTGAATGAGCCATTTGATAACTCAGAAGATGAGCGGCCTATGCCCCTGCTGGAGCGCACCTGCAGAGTGGGCGAGATGGAGGAAGAAGAAGAGGAGGAGGAACGGGAGGACAAGATACCTATTACACCAATGAAACGCAGAAGAGGTCGCCCGAGGCTGGACAAAAATGCACAAAAAGACAATCTTGAACACTGGAATGAAGGTATTTGCACCTTGACTGTTGCAAAAGAAATACTCTTTGCTAAATTATTTCTTAGGAAATGTTTGTCTAGCAGATTGTTCTTTCTCTCTGGCAAAACAGTAAAGTTTGTTTTATTTTTTATCCGTAGGAGCTGAGGTCCTCTCTAAGAGACCCAGCAGACCCCGCCCAGTGAAACGGAAGAAAGGCTGGCCAAAAGGAGTAAAACGTGGTCCTCCTAAATGGAGGCTAAAGAATGAGAGAAAGATGGGCTTCAAGCTCAATCTGTACACACCCCCTGAAACCCCAATGGAGGCAGAGCAGCACCACATTCAGACTGAAGAACCAAAAGGGGAACCAGACCAGGATATTGTCAGTGCAGACGAGGGCAGCAAAGCAGGCAGAGGCTCGGCTAGTCCAGATATAACGCTGGACAGGCTCCCCTCTGAGCCCCCAAGTCCTGCTGACCATGGCTCGCATAAGTCGAGCTCCCCTGAAGGATCGCCAGTGGCTTCTCCGGTGTGCTCACCTGCCGCCTCTCCTGGCGCCATGTCCCCGAGGCCTGAGGACAGAGGCGATTCCCCAGAGCCGCCTGAAGATGACCAGCAAGAGAGTGAACACGGGCAGGACTCACCAGCCAAAGATGTGGAACACAGCACAGTGGGTGCTGTATCACTGGAGAATGACAATGAGGAAGATGAGGAGGAGGACAAGCAGAGAACTCAAATAGAGGATCAGGATGCAGATGATGAAGATGACAGCAAGACAGCAGAGCCTGAGTGCAGCAAAGCAGAGTTGGAACAGAGTTCAAAAGAAATGCCTGAATGCACCCCACCTTTTTTAGATCCAAAAGAAGACAATGACTCTGAGTTGAGTCAGCAGGTTTCTACAGTACCGTGTAGTGAAGAGGAACCAGCTACCGCTACAGAAAGCATCCAGGAGGCAGTGACAGAAACGTCAGTAGCAACACCAACACCTGAAGCAGTAGCAGTCGCTTCAGTAGCAGCTGTAGACTCTGACAACCCTGTAGACTCTGAGTCAGAGGAAGAGAGCACACCCAGTCCTTGTCCGGATCACCCACCTCCTCAGCCCGCAGAGAGGCCCACACTCAGTCCCGTGCTGCGGGAGGATCCTCCAATCTGCACAGAGATTGACTCAGAGACGGCCCAAGCTGTTCAGTCCCTGACACAGGAGACTGAGCAGGAGAATGTTTTCCAGGACTGTGTGGAGAGCCAGGAGCCCTGCAGGAGCCTGCAGACCTACACTCACGTGGCCCAGAGCCCCCAGCTCACCTCGCTGGATGACTGCCCCCAGTCGGACCACAGCAGTCCCCTTTCCTCCGCACAATCCCATCCCAGCCAGTCGGTACGCTCCGTTAACAGCCCGGCTGTCTCCATCCTGGAGAGTGGCTACACTCAGATCAGTCCTGACCACAGTGCCATCTCAGTGCCCTCGCTCCACAACATGGAGACGAGCCCCATGATGGATGTGCCGTCGGTGTCAGATCACTCGCAGCAGGTGGTGGACAGTGGCTTCAGCGATCTGGGCAGCATCGAGAGCACCACAGAGAACTACGAGAACCCCAGCAGCTACGACTCAACCATGGGGGGCAGCATCTGTGGGGCAGGCCCCTCCCAGAACAGCTGCTCCTATGGCAGTATCCCCCCTAGTGGCCTGGCCCAGAGCAGCTGTGCCGTGAGCCAGCAAATGGCTGCCGTCAACCCCGGCAGCTGTGGGATGATTCAGCAGAACAGCCTGAGCTCGCCGCCGCACTGCAACGTCAAGTCGCCACAGGGCTGCGTGGTGGTGGAGAGGCCTCCAAGCAACAGTCAGCACAGCCAGCACAGTCAACACAGCCAGCGCAGCCAGCACAGCCAACACAGTCAACACAACTCCCACAGCAGGCACGGCCCACACAATCAGCACAGCCAACACAATCAGCACGGTCCACACAATCAGCTAAGCCAGCATAGTCAACACAATCCCCACAACCAGCATAGTCACCACCACAATCACCACCTGCAGCACAATCAGCTCAGCCAGCACAATCAGCACGCTCAGCATAGCCTTCACAATCAACACAGTCAGCACAGCCAGCAGCAGCCAATGGCACAGTGTGCCATACCCACCAACTTCACCACCACCATGCAGCTGGCAGACATTCCTGAATCTGGCAACCCAAACTTCGCCCTCTATGAGCGGATCAACCACCAGGGGGAGTATGGCAGTGGGCACTACTCTCAGTCGTCAGGCCTCAGCCTGGCCAAACTGCAGCAGTTCACCAACACGTTCATAGAACACCCTCACTCGCTGCCTTTCAACCACTCGGCCTCACACCCCATCACATCTTATGCAAACACCCCTTCGCTGTCATCTCAGCACTCCAGCCTGGTCTCCTTGTCCCAGACCCCACATCGAGTGCCCAACCCACAGGTGCAGGCCACCATGACCCCGCCCCCCAATCTCAGCTCCACGCCAACCATGATGCTACAGCGCAACATGGGCATCCCGCCCTCACAGCGAATCCAGCCCCAAATGGCCTCCAAGAGTCACATCTCGGCACGCTCCAAGTCGGCCCCGCTGTCACACCACCAGCAGCAGATGTACGCCCGGCCACCGCAGACTGTGGCCATGCAGGCGCCATCTAGGACGCTGGCTACCATGCCGCGCATGAACATGAGCGTGAACATCATGCCGGCACCAGCCTACAATGTCAACTCCATGAACATGCCCTCCCTCAACGCCATGAATGGCTACAGCATGAGCCAGCCCATGATGAACAGTGGCTACCATGGCAACCATGCCTATATGAACCAGTCACCCCAGTACTCTATGCAGATGGGAATGATGGGAACACAGCCATACCCCCAGCAGCCCATGCAGGCTCCACCACATGGCAACATGGTGTATACTCCAGCTGGTCACCATGGTTACATGAACACAGGCATGTCCAAGCAGTCCCTGAAAGGGCCTTTCATCAGGCGGTAACTCTCCGCAGGACTGAGCTGTCTCTTCTCACGTGCATTTTGCTGTTAAAGATGCACTGATCTGGCCTTTTTTTTTTTCTTTTTTTGGTGTCTTTTTGTTATTGTTTATTACTTAAAAACCAGCAGCAGCACTTGGAAAGAATGCAAAAATTTTCATCAGTGAGTAAACTTTGAAGCTAATGTTAAAAAGTATTTTTGTTTCTCCAAATGGGAAGCCTTACATCATTACGATGAGAATCTATTTAATTAGTGTTAGTGTCTCTGATGTGTCTTTAGAGCAGGCGGGTTCAGAGCTCAGAGGTAGAGATTTCATCAGTGGTCTTGCAGTCGTGTAGCAGCCTCAAATGAAGCCATTTAATGTGCCTGCTACAAGTGGAGTTAGTGGCTGTTTGAACCTGTTCAGTGTACCTGTCTAACAGTGCTGACAATTAGTTTGTACTATACTCATGCCTTTGTATATTTAAATTATTGTACTTATTTTGTAAAGTGACAACTAGCATGCTTCAGTCTCTGTTAGTGACAGTGCATTGAGTAGTACTGTACAAGTGTTGTGCTTAATAGCAAGCCATTTTAAAGATATCTGGCCTTTATTAGGTTTCCCTTCGCAGGGAAAAAGATGAAACTATATTTTGTTAATTCTAATAATGTAAAAAAATGTAAACTTAGTCCTGTTTTCTGTTCGGTTTGAGAGGTTTTATTGCTATGTATGTATAATTCTGAAGTCTTTTGTAACAGATCTCCTTGAGGCAGCTTTCTGTTTAATAAAGCAGACTGATTTCTGTCAAAATAACAAAGCATATCTCAGTGTTTGTACCCTGAAAATTCTAAAACATTTCAAAATGTCCAGAAGTGTGGCAGAATTTAAAAGAACTAAATGATTATAACGATGAATAACAATAAAGAAAATATAAATTTACTCCAAAGTTGATATTTTACATAATGCCTTTAAAGCTACGTTTTCATTCCATCTGTAGATTTGTTTTCTATCTTTATAAAATGTTGGATTTATATTTTACCGAAGTGTAGAAGAATAGAGCCTGTGAATAGACCAAACTAAGCTAATGGATTGCATGTAAAACGCAACTTGTACTTGTGTTTTTGTTTATATTGCTCTTTTGTAGCCTTTGTACCTGTACAGAGTTGCTGGTAAGAACAGGGGGGAAATACCTGGCTATGTGCACAAAAATTGGACAGAATGACATTCTTGTATTTATGACTTTTCTCCTTTTGTCAGTTACTTAAAATGCTGTACATTTTAGCATAAGAATAAATTATGATTGACCATGTACTTGATTGTTCTCCTTTTAATTTTAAAAACATTTACTAGCCTGAGGCGTGTCACAGAATGAGAATGCAATGATAGATTTTGAATTCGTGGTAATCCAGGCAGCCGTTTTCTCTGCAGAAAAGTATTTTAAAATAAAAAGAAGTTAAAAAAAAGACTTGGACTTGACTGCTCTGAGACTTTATTTACCCCTCCAGAACTCGACGTGAAACAAAATAAAGCAAATGGGACAACAGGCAGGCTTTACATGGCCACACACAGTGAATATTTAATGATTAGGCCTTATGCATTAAAAGGAATTGGTCTCAGTTGTTATGAAATGTTTAAATACCTTGTCATTAACTAACCCTAACCCAACATTCAGACACCTGAAAACACTTTGATCTTGACTTGCAGTTTGCTGATTTAGACGTGAGACTTGGCTATGAGTGGTTTAGAATGACTTGAGACTTAACTTGAGTTTGTCTCACATTACTTGAGACTTGACTTGGACTGTTTCTTTTTTATCACTTGAAACTTGACTTGAGACTTGCCGTGGTAGACCTGAAACTTGATTTGTCCCAAATGACTTGAGACGTAACTTGGACTTGGTTTCAAATGACCTAAATTGGCCTAAAAACCTAAATTGGACTTGTATAGGAATTGTATTGAAGACTTCTCTTGGACTTGTCTCACAAGACTTGTTGTGAATGTTGTGATAGACTTAAGACTTGACTTGGACTTGTTTTGACTGACCATATATCTTTATTTGTCCCCAGTGACTTGATTTCACTTGGACTTGGTCTTAAATGACTTGAAATCCAACTTGAACTTGTCTCCAATGACTTGAGGCTCAACTTGCCTCACGAGTCCTACAATCAGCTCTGCTCTGTAGACTCTCCCCTTTTCTCCAGGAGGTGCATGTCCAGCTCTCTCAGCTGTTTCAGGAAGCCCCAGTTGGGGATGATCCGCCTACGTTTTTTCACGTGCTCGATGGCGTCGACCACCGTCATGTTCTCACAGATCATGAGGTAGGCGAGGAAGAGCGTGGCCGACCGACTCCTTCCCATCACACAGTGCACCAGCAGTTTATCTGGAGATACATAAATCACACAATCAGGGAGTAGCTTCATTCAACCCTTATTTTTGGTTCAGTTAAAGGGTCAGTTCACCCAAATCACAAAAGGTATGGTTTAGAGATTCCAGATTTCATTTGTGGGGGAAAAAATGGGAATGTAGTTCCTATGAAATAACCTGAAAAATACACACTGATGTTGAGTTTTTAAAATGTAGTTTTTTATTTCTTTTAGCTCCACGAACAAACATTCCTTTCATGCCATTATGAAAGGATGGTGGCTGAAGTTTAAGGACAAATATCTCTAAAAATCTTTTTGCCACCAACTCAGTTTTAATTGTGTCTCCCAAAGAATTGGAAAGACATTTTTTCCAAGGCTTTTGAGCACCACAAACAAAATTCCCTTCATCATCCTACATACTCTGGTTTTGGTGGATGTTTATGTGTGAGCCTAGTCATTAAAACCAGAACTATCCAGACTAGAAACCACTAAGTCCTCTGTGATATGGCTGAAATGAACCTTTAACTATGTGTTGTCTTACTCTGAGGATTGCTCAGTGTTTCTTCTATAAACCGGGCGGCGGAGAAGAAATACTGGCTCAGGTCGAAGGTTGTGACGTCTTCTGCTACCACGCCGTAGTAGACGACGTCCATGTCGCTGTAGTAACCGGCTCCAGTGTCCACATTGTTCCACGTCCCCTCTGCTGCATTCAAGATGTGTGTAATCCCCAACCTCTTCAGATTATGCTTGTCCTTTGCAGTCTGCCTGCAAGAAGCCGGCGTGAATATTATTTTAATCCTCTATTATATTGGTCAGTTTAGTAATTTAATACTTTTTTTACTTACTCGTCCCCGATGTAGACATTAGGCCAGACCTCATTGACATGAGTGTAAGCCACACTCCCACGGTTGAGGATTTTCTCCAGCTCATAGCCCCCAGGTGTGACATATTCATCCACAGGACTGGATTCCTCTGCTGCCTTTATAACATTTATCTTGGTGCCAGTCTTTGACTTGTGAGAAGCCATTTTCTCACTGTGGCTTCCTTTCACACATGATTTATTAGCTTAAGGGGGAAAAGAAATACCACACTTGCTTTTTTCCCTTCCACTTTTCTCCCTCTACAATCATGAAAAAGTACATTTTGTTTTTTGTTTTTCACATGCATCTCCAATACCACTTACCGAGGGGTTGAAGTCCTTCGTCTTCCCGCTTGGAAATTTTGTTTTCATCATTCTGGCAGCTTGTTGTGAAGCAGTCCTTAAAGGCAGAACACGGTAAGGTTTAATTCTGGAAGGCTCAAGTCAGGGCACAGATTGTATAACCGCTCTGTGACGGGCATCAAATGCAGAGGATATTTTTAGGGCTGTGATGTGGCGGGCCCCTGACCTTAGCTGCCACGTTCTCTGCCTGTGGGGAAAACTTCCACCCAGCCAGTCCCTGCCATCTACTTCTAAACACACAAATTTAATCTCCACTGCTGGCAGGAATCCGTGCTTATCCAAACTTTGCACTTGCCAAAGGATACCCATATTCACTGGAGTGAACAGGACACTCTGAGCTTTTGCTCAGCCGTATGAGCGACTCCTTGAAATTGTGTCAGGCTCTCTTAGCCTTTCTGCATATCTTCAGACGCTGGGAGAAACTGTGTAAGCGCTGCCTCACAACACCCGTTAAGGATGTTCTGCATTTTCTGGAGCCTCTCGGGGGCCAAAAGAGAACCGAAATGTGTCAGACTGTTAGACAGATGAGGTTTTTCACAGGATGGCACATGTCTTTGATTCCCTGTTATATGATATGCATGGTCCATTCAGTGATCTAAATGCAAGCCCCCAAAGTGAGAGTGTGATGATGACTGTATTGCAGAATGGCTGGATGAAGCTGCTAACATGTCAGACAGAGTTTTCACACCATCAGACTCCTTTATTTTTCCCTCATATCTTCATACTCTGCCATCATTCATTCTGACAGTGAAATCATTAAACCTGTGATATCCAATTCCTTTTATTTTGACAGCATCTCTCTCTCTCTATCTCCCTCTCTTTCTCCCAGTGTGCTCTGGAGAGCATCTCTTATTAAGATGGCTTCAGCGTTTCATCTCTTTTCAAAGTCTGACCTGAATCTGTATACACACTCAGAACCATGCTGGCATATTTTTATCATCTTGTATCAAGCCTCTTTAGACATCACAGTTTTAACTGTACAACGTTGGATTGCAGCAGTTAAGACACAGTATTTTGAGAAATGTGAATATATAAGTGGAGCATTGTTTATTTATAGGAATATGCTGTCTTCGTGTTGTTCAGGTGCAGCAGGGGTTTTGGCAGTTGTGCTACATTTGTTTTAATGGCCTCTTTGATATTGACTTTGCTGTGTATTCAACACAAGCTTAAAGGACTTACAGGTTTGAGTTCCTTAACTACAAGTCATGTATACTTTACATTTTTGCTATCTGTTTTCAAATGCATGCTGTGCTGTTTTTAGATGTTTTTGATGTATTGTTTCTGGTATTTGCAGAGAGACACTGGTTTTAGAACATTTCTGGATAAAAACCAGTTCACAGCAGAGATGTATCAGAGATGTTTTATCTGCATCCAGTCAGAGGAGACTAGTCCAAGTCAAGTCGCAAGTAATTTGAGATAAGTCATAGTCAAGTCTCAAATAATGCAAGACAAGTTCAAGCCAAGTCTGAGGTCTATCACAGCAAGTCCAAGTCAAGACACAAGTCCTTTAGGGTAAGTTGAAGACAAGTCCTCAAGGACAGACCTAATTATTGTATTTAATACATAAATATTCAGGCTGTGCGGCTATGCAAGGGCTCTGAAAAGACAGCAGAAAATGTCATGTCTTTTAAAGCTTTCCAGGGAGGGAAGTCTTAAGTTAGTCAGGTATTACAGCAAAATCAAGTCCTCATTTTTCCTTTGAAAGTCTGACTTCAGTCCAAGTTTTAAGCCGACAGCTGCCTTTAACAGGCTCATGAATCTTGCCTGAGTTTTGTAATCCACTGTGAAAATCAAGTCTGCATTTATTTTTTTCACTTACATTAGTCATATACAGTAATACAGTGCAGACCTTTCAACTGAATCTGTTCTTTAACTGAATTATAATGCAATAAATATGTAAGAAAAGCAGTAATAATTCAGAATGGTTAGCTATAATGTAAGGAATGCATGATCTGTATTAAACACATCAAAACATGCAGAACCACTGTAATGTACAAAAATCCTCAATGGAGGAAATTCTCTCCCAATAATACTCTATTTGTCCTCTGTTTGATGTTATGTCATTTTCCTCTGGAGGGCCAAGGAAGAGTCCAAGTGACAGAGTTGATTCAGAAATCCAACATTTGGAAGAATGTTTCTGTGCCTGCGAACAGCCTCCACCGCCTCTACGAGGGTAAGTCTTTCTTTGATCATGAGGAAGGCCAGTGCCAGAGTCGCTGAGCGGCTGATTCCTCGAGCACAGTGGACGAGCACCTTACCTACACGGACAAGAGACAGAATCACTTACAATGACAGCTGTGTCTATATAAGGCTGAATCTGTCGCTCATATCATTAAATAACATTCAGAATGTGACTAATTGCACCTTTTCCTAATGTAGTGGGTGCAACTAGACACTAATAGTTTAATGTACTCAATAACAAAGTTGGGAGAAAAAACAAACTGGTAAGACCGTACAATGTCTTTATTCCTCTTTAGATGTAAAATGTGAAAAATATCTAGTAGCAAATTCTAAAAAAGTGTCAAGTTGTAATTTGTACTTCAAATTAATATCAAATTAGATTCAAGGAATAAAATAATATCTGACTGAGATTGTCTTAAAGAAGATAAAGAGCAAATATCTGAGTCTCCAAACACATCAGTTTGCATCTTCACACAAACTTATTTTAGATTTTGTAAGGACATTTTTAAAACCAGTATGTAGGATTTAGTGGCATCTAGTGGCGAGATTGCAGAGAAACTATGGTGGCTGCGAAACTCATGAGGAACGTGGACGGCTTTATCTACAGCCAGTGTTTGGTTTGTGGGCTACTGTAGAAACATGGTGGTCTAACGTTTATGACTATAAATTTGAGTTGAGTTGAGATAGTTTTAATGGATAATACTTAATATATACAAACTAAACAACAACATATACATTTTTCTGTCATAATTTCTCCAACTTAGTCAACATTACTAACAAATTTTCAACTTTAAAATGCATCTTGTCACATTTTTATACAACAATATGTTATGATGTACATTATTATTATTATTATACTAATCTAACATGTTTCTTTAATTTTCTGCAGCTCATATGGACGCGTACCTTTCCGAGTCAGAGCACCGTGAATAAAATCAGCCGTTTCAGCGAAGAATGGGCTCAAGTCAAAATCTTTACAGTCTGGTGCTTCTACTCCATGATACTGTATGTTGGTGTCTTTGTAGAAAAGAGGCCCAGTGTCAATGTGCTGGGGGCCATCTGCAGCATTCACCACGTGTGTTATTCCCAGATTCACTAACAGGCTTTTATGCTGAGCTGTAGCACTGTAAACGACACAAGATATGATACCATGCATGCAGCCGTTAGTGGTTTTTCTCGCCTGCGGCCAGCTATGTAAGCATATGTTTGCAAATGCATCACTGGTGACTCAAATGTACAGATTTTATATTTATCCAATCAGTTGGCCAAATACAGGACTTGTTTGCAGCAACAGTTTCTCAATCAGATCAGCATATTGCAGCAGGGGCCCTGAAGTGAGAATGTCACTTACGCGTCTCCAATGTAGAGGTTGGGCCAAACCTCGTTGACAGCTCCAGTGGGGCGTCTGTTCTTCAGCAGAAGGCCGAGCAGATCGCAGGTGGGAGGTGTTTGATACTCTGGCTCCTCCTCTGGGCTCATATTTGCATCTTTTCACTTAAGTGTTGCTGTGTAATTATCACAAATTATATTCAACTCAACATGCAGATAACAGATAATTTTCCCAAATACTTGATGTTCTTGGATGGAAAATTTGAGCAGTTATTGCTGCTCTCGTGCTAGTTTTTTCTCCCTGGAGGCATTTGGAAAGGAACTACAGTCAACTGTAACCTTGTTGGTGCAGCTCGCTCTGTTTTCCATCTGAACAGAGTATCAGTGTTGTTTAGAGGCTAAGCCCAGCTGGAACGAGACAGCTGAAGATGCCAGAGTCTGGGTGGACTATTTATTCCTCAGATGACTGTGACAGAAGCCAGGCTGCATGTGTGGTGACAACTTTAACTACAGAACCACAGCAGTGTTTACAGTTGTAATAGTGTAAGTGATTCAAAACATGGTCAGGTTGCCACATTGAGTCAGTTCAAACCACAACAATATGTAGCTAATATAGAGAATTTAAAGGATAACGCTGGTGTTTTATCACCTGAAGAGACTAAACCGGAATTTATTCTATCACCATTAATTTATCTACTGTCTGATATTATCATTTAAAAACTATATAAAACACAAAAACATGTTGTGATGGACACAGACACTGTAGTTTATTTTGAAACCATTCTGAGACAATTTCCCATTTCTGGAGAGTAACTCAGAGTAACATTACTGAGCGTGCTCAGTTTACTGGAGGGACGTAACTACATTTGTTGTTGACAATCTCACCTCAAGGTCCGTTTACATGATAATTTACATGATCTTCACCAGCTGGTAGAGTTTCCCCATTTGTTATAGATATAATTATAGATGTTTAAATTTCCATTTTTTCCCTAAGCACTTTTAAGGAATTCTTTTTTTAGTTTGTTAGATGCTTTGTTTCTGAGTGTTAAAGAGAAGAATGACACCACTCTTATGTCTGTGTATTAACTATGGAGCTAGATCCAGGAGGACGTTTATTCCCCCCCCGGATCTAATATGAACATTTTAGAGGGCACTGTACATTGACACTCAGAATTTGGACACCTAAATTAAATGGTGAAAAATAAATATAGTGCACTAAAGAGTAAATATAGTGAGTCTTGCCGTTGCCAAGCAACTACCAGAGACTTCAGGAAGTCACTGGCCAGCCAAGAAATAGTAACAGCTCGTGACTTAATTAGCTACTGAGCAGCTTCCATAGGAATGAATGGAGCCCCGCCTCCAATGCTGTGTCCAGTACGCCCTTAAAGGTCCAGTGTGTAACATTTAGGAGGCTCTATTGGCAGAAATAGAACATAATAGTCATAGGTGTGTTTTCATTTGTTACCTTAAAATGAGCCGTTTTTATCTACAGGTCCTCTTCTACAGAGTCTGCCATGTTGAACCACCATGTTTCTACTGTAGCTCAGAATGGACAAACCAAACACTGACTTCAGATGGGGCCTTTCTTGTTTTTTTTGCGAGTTTTGGATCTGCAACTTCACTGCTAGATGCCACTGAATCCTACACAGTGGTCCTTTAATACACACACTGTAACTCCCCTTAGAAAACACAACTTGTCAGTTTTGCTTTTCTGTTATATAACGTGTTAATTGAGTCGAGCTTTAGATGTGCCAGTCTAGCTGTTTCACCCTGCTTCAAGTATTTATGCTGACCTAAGCTCTCCTGGCTCTGTAGCTCAATATTTCATGTACAGAGATGAGGGTTGTATCAGTCTTTAGTATCTCAGTCATCAATATCTCTCAGCAGGAAAGCCAATTTCTATTTCCCAAAAATGATGAACGATTCCTTTAAGGACTTCTATTTCACAAAGTTCTTTAGTTTTTGTTAAAATTCTGGGCTTTTGTTACCTCTAATGGATAGTGACAGCTAAGGAGTGACTGGAAAGGGGGGGACAGAGAGTGGATGACAAGCAGCAAAGGGCCACAGGTCAGAGTTGAACCTACTGCAGCAAGGACACAGCCTTGGTTCATGGGTTACCAGCTCTACCAGGTTAGCTACCCTTAAATGTTGAGGTTCAACAAGTTGGAAACAGCAGTTGACAGTATAGTATTCTTTATACTTCTTGTGTTTATTGTTAACTAATATGTCACCCAGTGCAACTTCATGGCTTCTTTATTTGTTGTTGGAAAATAATGGGCCTGTGTCTACACACACAGAACTGTTATTAGGATCAAATCATTGTCGGTTTTGATCTTTAAATAGTATAAGACACTTTAATTTCTTCACAAAAATGATAGTTATCTCACAAAGAAAAGACAATTAGAACATGTTTTTACAGTTACATCTTTGTTGTAATATCTAATTAAAACTCAGATATCGACAGGAACCAGCAATATAACCCAAATGCATAGACTGATGGATTTTAAATCAAGTCCGCCTGTTGACACTCGATGATCCCTGGTAGTGCAGCTTTTTGTCCAGCTCTCGGAGCTGCTCCAGGAAGCCAGTGTTAGGTGAGATGTTCCTGTTGGCGCTGACAGCTTTGATTGCGTCCACCAGCGTCATGTTCTCGTGGATCATCAGGTAGGCCAGAACCAAGGAGGACGAACGGCTGATACCCATCACACAGTGGACAAACACTTTACCTGCCAATCAGTGGAAACAAAAAACATCCTGTGGATGAATCCAGAGCTCAGCCAGCCTCTACTAGCTCCATTTCTATATTTACAACCATGCAATCACTGGATTATTGTGGTGAACTTTATTCTGATGTCTAATTTGTCACTCCTCTGTGGATTAAAAACCATGCACATCACAGAGAGGAGTACTTCTAACTCCTGACTAAAAGTTTTCAACAATGTTGCAACAAATGTTTCTACACACGGTAATCCCTGGTTCCTTATCGGGCCTGAGGATTAGGGGGCATAGGAGCGCGTAATTGAACTGTCTTGGCGTCTGTGTATTTCTGCCGGGGATTACTGTAGGCCCCGCCACACACTGGAGCCCCCGATCAGCCACCATGTGAATGAGGAGGCCTCATCTTATTACTGTCATGTCAGATACCGACTTCACTTTGCATAACAGGCCAGGCAGGCACAGGCCACAAACATAATTGTGTAATTTCCATGTCCAATAAAAGTCTTGCTTACAAATTACCAGGGCAATCCATTTAAAACCAATTTTCCTGGCCAAGGTCTGAGCTTATGAGAAGATTACCATGGGGGAAAGATATTAGCTTGATATTATGTTTAGTGTTTGATTTGCATTTTAATGACTAATACAACTGGGGGCTGCTGTAATGGGAATTGACTGACAAATGTTTCTGTACTTTGCCTTGCAGGAAAAAAAAAAAAATGTCTTCTCCAAGTTAATGTGTAAGAATGATGAGAAATACCTTGAGCACAGTAAGAGCTCCTCACCTGTGGGCGAGCTCAAAGCGTTCTTGATAAAATTGGCCGCTGAGTAAAAGAAGGGACTCAAGTCAAAGCATGGCATGTCATAAGCTTCCACTCCATGATAAGTGATTTTGGTATCTCGGTAGAAGCTGGCCCCCGTGTTCACATTGAACTTCCCATCAGCAGCGTTAAGTACATGGGTGATGTGGTGAGCCTGGAGTGTCCTCTTGTCTGTGGCTGCGTTCCTAAAGGGAAAAAAACTATAATTATCGGTCCAGTGCAAAGAAGTGAAAGGATTTGTCGTTTCTGTGAGCACAATTGCACAAACAGGGAATGTTCATAAATTACTCAGAAGTCATCATGTGATTAATAAAACATTTACTAATGCTTTATAGATAATTAATAAGACGTATAGGCCTAATGCATAAATCAGATTTTATTTTGTGTTGCCAAGTTGTGGACACACTTTTAAATTATGAAACATTGTGGTTGGTGTGGTAGCTTCACCCATAATAACCACCTAACAACCGTAATAAATAATTAATTAATTGCACAACTGTCTTTTAGAGAGAAAAAAACTATAAAGACTGTTTCTGGAAAGACAAGTTGCTATTAAATTTTTTAAATGCACTTTTTCTGTAGCCTACTTTAAACACCACAAACTAAATTCATTTGATCTTCATTGTATTTGGGTGGTGGCAAAAATCCTGTAGACAGATATTTCTAAATAAACTGTTCGCTCCGACTCTGCTGCCTGGAAACAGTTTGTATTAAGCATGTTAGCTTGTTAGCATGCCCATGTACTAATGCTACATCCATTTGTCTAAAGCTAGCTCTTTATTGTGCTTACATTGAGTGTATAGCCCAATGTTAACCATAGCTTGTTTCCATGCACAGGGTAGGTGTCCAGCAACAAAAGCATAGTAACGGAAAACTTGAAGGCTTCATCATTGAACCAATGTACTGTATGACTACTAACTTATTACTGAAGACTGATGATTTATAGACCTGCAATAACCTGTGGACACTGACATTTATCCATAAGTCAATATGGCAGTTTATACTACAGCTTATTTATCCAGCTGACACGAAGCAACATCGGCATGTCATTGGCGACAATCTATATCCTTTACAGTATGCCTTATTGTAAAGCATGGAGTTGGAAAGAGTGTTTGTTTTTTTACTGTTCTGGTCTCACTTGTCTCCAATATAGATCCTGGGATGAACCTCATCCAGATGGTTGTTGGCCCCACTCTTTGTCCACATCAGTCTTTTGAGTTCCGAAGCCGGGGGGGTCTCATACCTGCCGCCAGCCCCCTCTGGGCTCGCCAAGCAGCTGAGGCCTCTGGGCATGTCTGGATGCTCCACTTCTGCCTTTTACAACCTGTCACATAGACGTACCACATATGATATTCCAACAGAGTTTAACTGAAAGTTTAAAGCAGCAACAAGGAACTTTTCATGTTGTGTTGATTCTGGTGGCCCCTGTGGACAAAAGCAATAGTGTTTCCACCACCTCGATTCATTGATTTCAATGGTTTATTGAACCAAACAGCACTGGTCATTGCTATGAAATATGGACCACAAACGAGCGGTGAGAAGTCATCAAAAGGGTCGGAAATGTTTTTCCTTTACCTTGGTCATCTACAGTATGAGACTCCACTGATGACTACTAATGGGCTTTATTGGAGTAAGAACATCATTCTAGATAACACTGAAAGAGAAATACAATAGTGAGGATGGTTAATCAGAACATCAGGTATGGAGGCCTATAGCCTTTAAATATAGACTATAAATATGCCAATAAATGTACTCCACAGTAGCAAAGGACCATAAGAACACATAATTGTAAGATGACCTTATGATGGTCTCATTATTTTATCTACAGCTCAGTACCACTTGGTGGGTTTATTTATCTCCAGGGACACAGAAAATTGGTATTCAAGGCCTGTAAACATCAGCTTTTCATTTCCTGCAGGCAAGTCAAACCTGTGCATTTACAATTTTCACACTGGGCTGCAGAGAGACTTATACTATGTGTACTGTATACATTAGCATCCATTTAGGCAGCTGTGTGATTCTGCTCCAGGCTGAGGACGTACAAACGATGTGTATGCATTGTTATAGTAAAGAAAGCAGCTCATCTTCCTATTTACATTCCGCTGGTGTGTGGAGACATAATGTGGCACTCAGGGTTCGGAGACTTATTGTCGCGTCCACAGGGATGAGTCATTGAGACCAAATCTGTTTCAGTGACCTTTTGTTAAGCTCCCGTGGCATATGGAGGTGCACTCAAACATCATGATGGCTTTATCTGCATGTGCATAGTTGCATATGTGTCACTCAAAACAAAAACGCTGCAGCTGACCCGGCATATGCTCCATGCATATGAGTGTGTGAGTGTTGGAGGCAGAGTAAAGTGTGTCTTTGCACAAATACAACATGTGCCCAGAGTACCTGGAGGCTCTTCTTTCTCCTCATTGATCTATAAGTACAACCCTTCCCTCCCTCCCACTGTCAGGGCAGAGAACTGATTTCCCTGGTGCACATGTTGAGCTGCAGCGCTGCTTTCATAGCCTCCCCCTTAGGCTAACCTGTCCTTCCTGCTCTACTTCTGTGTAATTAAAGATGCTATGTATGGGAAAGTGCCCACGGTTAACATGGAGGGCAAATAAAAATGGCTTTTTTACCTCCTCCGGGCCTCTTCTCGTGGTTTTATGAATTACACTTCCCTCTTTAGCCTTTTGGATGTGGCTCGTCTGGATTTGTGAGCAAATTAATAAAAGAAGAATGTGTGGTAATCCATCAGGCAATGCAGTATCATCACAGTACATACTCATTTATTAAAGTGCTTTATAAACATGTTAACCTTGCAAACAAAGGTATACAGTACAATAAATTGATACACTGTACATACTAATAAATATTTTCCAACATGGATTTCTGTCTGCAACAAACTCGTAAGAACACATTGTTAGTAGACACTTGCCTTGGTTGGAAACGTTGCGTTTCAAGGTCTCTCTGCACAAGAGCTACATGTAGGTCGACAGCACAACTGTCTGCGTTCTCCTTGGTAATCTACCCTGCAACCTTTTTTGCTATTTTAACATCTGAATCTCAGCCCAAAATAATTCTGGCATCATCTTCTGCATTCCTTAAAGGTTACCCGAGCTACCAGCTCAGGAGGGAGGATAGGACACGGCTTTTTCAATAGCAAGAGAATTAGATCAGTGCTGCTATACTTGAGCTTAAATCTGACACAGTCTTGACTGAGATTCTTCTCTACAGTGAATTGTGTTTAAACCAACAGCTGGACATTTGGTCAAGTCAGGAGTTTCTAATCTCTTTTACTATATATGATGAAAATTTAGTGAATGAAAGCACAAAAACTGATATAAGGTTTGTCTTACTAGATTTGAACACACCATCTGAAAGAAAAAAAACCCACTTGCAATATGGACAAACTCAGTTTTGGCTAAAGCATAAAAATAGTATGTCAAGAAAATAAAAAGGATTACACAAGCGTAGAAAGATGAACATATGTACAAACGAAGCAAACATTTATTTTTTATCACATAAAGTTCTTTTTAAAAAAGAATCCTAATTCATGTAACATTTTCTTGTACCCAAATGAAATATCTATAAATTGAACGTCTGACTCTGACAATACAAATCCTGCCATATAATTCAGTGTAGTTTCACACACACTGCTGTTTCTCTATCATAATATTTGGAGGTGTTATTCACAATGAACTCATTTTAATGTTGATACTGATGAAGATACCAATGTGAGTGTGCGTGTTTGTGAATGATTCATAACAGGTAGGAATCGTTGCTGTCAAACTCTACTATATAACAGATGAATCTGTGTACCTTTTTGTTTTTGACATTCATAATGTTTCTACAGATGACAATCAAAAGATCTGAAACCTTCTGATGTACAGCGTTGATCAGCACAAACCAGCTTGACGAATATACCAAAGGAGTTTCATACTGTGAACACTGATGGGTACAGAGACAGACGCTGTAGATTGATTCCCATTTTGAGTTCTTGACTTGAAGAAACATCTTTTCCTCAACAGAGTTTACATAAAATGATGATTTGTAAAACATTTTCCGTAAGACTTTGGTCCATTCTGCTGTAATACAAAGTGAGGTGCTGAAGAAAACATCATCTTACAAGAATGAGAGGTAAAGGCTCAAAAACATAAATAGTCCTAAAAACTCCTTATCATTAACATTCATTGTTCAGTCTCAGTTTTCACTTCACATTACATTAAGTTTTAATTTGTTCTGCAAACAAACTTTTTGTTAAGACATTCTTTGTTTTTAAAGGTCCAGTGTGTAGGATTTAGTGACGTGTAGTTGTAGAGTCCCCTCACTTCGCCCTCCCCTTCCAAGCGTGTAGTAGAAACTAAGGTGGCCGTAAAACTCACAAAAAACACAAAAAGCCCCGTCGGGAGTCAGTGTTTGGTTTGTCAGTTCTGGGCTACTGTAGAAACATGGCGGTTCACCTGCAGTGTCTGTAGATAGAAACTCATTCTAAGGTAACAAAAACATGACAATTCCTATTTTCAGGTGATTATACACTAATAAAAAACATACCTGCTAATATTATATCACATTTATGCCAAAAGATCCTGCTAAATGTTACACACTGGACCTTTAACGTTACTGCCTCCAAAAACAAAACAATCCTCAGACTCAGCTCGTCAGGCTCCGCTGCTCTGCGTTGTCAGATTTGGAAAATCTTTCGTTCAGTTCGACGCGTATTACATTAACATTTAACAATACCATGTCAGCAGGCTGCCAGTGGCATTAGTATTGTGCTAGCGTGTCGATTTTCTAATCTTTAACATGTTGGTGTAACATGCTAATATTTAGAATAACCTGAAGAAGGTAATATGTGCTGAAACACTGATTCATAGTAGGCAATTCAAAATAAAAAGAGATATAACATTCAGCATGTGTCAATATTTAAAATGCTAATAAATAAATGTAGTAGATGAGATAAATACACTGGAGTTACGTGTTCAGCTTTTCATAACATGCTAACATGATATCTCAGTGTTCTCAAATCTCAAACTACAGCTGAGTTTGACAAGAATTCAGTCATTAATTAAACCAAATTTCATGTCATTGGCTGTAGAAATATTTCAGTCTGGACCAACAGACCAAACCATCCCTAGAAACTAACTGTAAACTTCTCTTGATTACAGGATCTGACATGTATCCTTTTTTCCCGTCAGCTGAAGCTCCAGATCCAGCAGCAAAGCCAGGAAATTCCTGTTGGGGTAGATGGCTCTCTTCTGGATCAATTTCTGCAAAGCCTTTTTGAGCGGGAGGTGACGGTAGATCATGAGGTACGCTAACACCAAAGTCGATGACCGGCTCATTCCCATGATGCAGTGCACCAGAACTTTCCCTGAAAAAAAAACAGACAAGATGAAGGGAGAGGGGGGATGTGAAGAAAGGATTAGTGAGAGGCCTCAGTCTTATTAATATCATACATGGCTGCCCGTCTCACGCTGTGGCCTTTCTTTTTCCCTGCTGCGAGCTAAAAATAGTTCCCACAATTCATCGCCTTTGTTCATTTAAGGTCCCTTTGCTGACTGTCTCTTTAATCCCAACTTGTCCTCTGCTTGATAGCTTCTTTGAAAGGAGCCATGGTCACATTATAGACTTAAATTCTGCAAGGTAAGACCCTTATTATTACCGCTGGCTGAAAATACACACATGCCGTTAGAAGTTGTGTTACACTGTGGTGACATTGAAAGGATGGCATGATGGGAGAATTTGAGTAGATGGGTGTACCGAGGATTAAAGAAGTTAAATAAAAGATGTGCAGGAATTTTAAATAAATATCTTTTTTCTGTTAAATTTTATTGCTCAATCTTTCTGAATTATGTAATTAAAACCCACTGTGCAGTAAAAAAAAAAAAAAAAAAAAAAAAAAAGCCTTGAGGAGTCTTACCATCAGGTGACTTCAGAGCTTTGTGAATGAAATCAGCTGCAGTCTGGAAGTAAACATCCAGATCAAAGTGTGTTGAGTCATCTGCTGGAATGCCACAATACACAAAGCCGTTGCCATAAAAGCTTTGGTTCCCTATGCTGCCTCGCTTGGAGTGCGCAGCGTTTAATACATGAGTTATACCTAATTTCAGCAAGGCAGCCTTGTTTTGGGCTACTGCCCTAGCAAGACAAAGAGACAGAAAGAGGTTCAAGACTTATGTGAATGCTAAGCATCACGGCACAATGTTTTTACACTAGAGTAACAAAATCACTCGTTGAACATAATTGCTGTGTAACATGACAAGTAGTAGGTATCACATTTCCTTGCAAGGCAAACTCATAAAATCTTTAAATTTGAAATAAGATGTATACTTACACATTGCCTATGTATATTTTCGGCCAGACCTCATCAACTTCATTGAGATGTAGTTTGCACGAGTCCAAAAGCTTCTGCAGATCCTTCACAGTCAGATATTCTTTTCTCTTGTCTTTCAGAGTTGACATTTTAAGTCCAAATCCCCCTCTCTTGGATCGATTACTGGTCCAAATGTTTGTTGTATTAAAGCAGTTCCCGTCAACTCCGGCTCAGGATGATCTGTACGAGCAGGTGTTTATCTGCTGTCACTGGACAGTTACCCAATTTAGTGCTTAACCTAGCGTGTAGTCTTACTCGTGCAGAGGGCAGAACAACAAACAGTGCAGTACGGGGCTGTGCTTTTCACACTGCTGTGGGAGTCTGATTTAATAAGCCTCAAACAGAGATGAATCATTCCATAAAGCAGTGATAATTAGATGTAATTAAGGACAAAATGTTTAAGTGCATTGCTTATACTGGATGACAGAAAGTCCAGTGTAATGCAACATTTATGGAATGGAAATACTGTAACAGCCTCATGCAGCTAGTTTACTGCTTGGACATAAATATCTTGTGAAAGCAAATTGGCTGAAGAGGGAAAAAATTAAGCTTTGCCGTTAGCTGCACATGACTTCAAACAGCCCTCACACTGGTGCGAATGTCTCTTTTAACCCTCCTATAATGTTGCAGGTCAATGTCACTCATTTCAGTTCTTATATGGAGGAAAAACATAATTAACCTTTCTTTGAAGGCATGAAATGTAATTTTCTTCTCTTCATTCGAGGTCATGAATGTGTATGTACAGTAAAATGTGGATGTGATGGTGTGTTGTTGATGTTGTACACAAAATAAGTCAATAACGGTTTCCGGTTCATTTTGACCTGGAGGCAGTTATTTATTGATTATTTAAAGTTCTGCTTCTGCTTATTGATTAATCTACCGTAGTGTATGTGGTGGGAATAAAATCCCACCGGATATATACGTAACACTGCTGGTGAATGTGTGATTCTGGTCTGATCCAGATGCGGGTGTAGTTTGACAAAATGGGGTTTTGTGTGTTCCTGTGCGTTTATTTTGTAAGCCTTTTAATCAATGCATCTTTCTGACAGAGACGCTTAAAAGAGCTCAAGGCAATAAGAAGGATTTTAGCACCAGTCATGTAGAGTAAGATGTTTCTGAGCCGTTAATGATACAGGTTTTCTCTGGAGAAGATTCTTCATCTACATCTGATTCACAACATGTGAAAGGACCATGGAAATCTAAACTCTCTCATGTTCTATTCTAACCGTCATCACAGGAAAGCCAAGGCAGACTGTCAGACTGTTCTCAGATAAAGATCCCGAGAAAACAAGATTTATCAGCATTTCACTTTGATCAAAATCCAGTCGACCACTGGAACCACAAGATGTGTTGGCAATAAATTGACATGTTTAAAATGCAGAAAAAACGACAGGAACATGTTCAATTATTGTACATTCAGGACATAAATTCTGAAAAGCCGCTGAGATTTAAGAACCTGAGGGGTGGTATATGATTTTGATGATGTTTTTTAATTAATAATAATTCACAAAATGTCACAGTGTATTTATTAATTCACTGTAAGATTATGTTTTAAATTAATTAAGAATTTGCATTATCTCCTAACATTTTGGCGTAAATGCTGTTTCAAAGCCTTCTACTTGTGGTGGATTTCACTGGAAAATCCCTTTTTGTATTCAATTAGTTCTCACAAATATCACATTTTAAGTTTAAAGAAATGTCTATTAATGCATTTATAGCCTGTGTGTAAACAGTTAATACTTGATAACACAGTATAATGTAGCTATAATCTAATATAATTACACACTTGAACAAATCCTTACAGGCTCTTGGCACCCTATGTACCAAGGTCTTGCTGCAGCAGCCCCAGGTTTGAATCCAACCTGTGACCCTTTGCTGTGTGTCACTCTCTCTCTCTCTCTCTCTCTCTCTCTCTCTCTCTCCCACCCCCCTTTCCTGTCACTCTTTAGCTGTCACTATTGATTAAAGGAAATAAAAGCCCCCAAAGAATACATAGTTAAAAAAAATAAATGTGTTAAAACTAGATGGTTATAACTGTTATATTGTCAAGCATTCATTAACCATTGACATGCCAGTTATGAATGCCTCATATGCTTTAAATTACATTAATAATTACTTTAAAATGTCCTTAAAGATCAATTTAGGAGAATCTAATGAGAGAAATGAAATATAATATTCATAGGTATGTTTACATTAGTGTGTAATCACCTGAATTTAGGGAACGTCGTGTTTTGTTACCTTAAAAGGAGCCTTTTATATCTACAGACACCGCCGGTCGCCTTCCATTGGGGCCACCATGTTGAACTGACATGTTTCTACAGCAGCCCAGAAAGGACAAAGCAAAAACCGGCTGTAGATAGGGGCGTTGTAGTTGTTGTAGCACTGTAGTTTCTCTTCTGCGCTTGGAAGGGTTAAAACAATAGATTGTGATCTGCAATTACACCGCTAGATGCCACTAAACGTACTTACAATTAAATTATACTGTGTAATTATACTGTGTTATAAACCACCTATCGACTGATCATATGCTGCTTATCAATGCTAAACTGGAGGGAAAAACATTAACATGGTACCAGAATGACCTAATACACAAAAACTAATTATGAAATGAATGTTAAGTATCATATTGTGAGTTAAAGTGGAACCACAGTGTTTTAAATTAAATGTATATCAGGGTTGTACCTTTAATTCAATGTAATACAAAGGTTACTTAAGTGATTCTGCCTAAGTGATTATACTGATGTTCTATTAATATGAGATCAATATCTTGTGAATAGGCAGCATGATCCACAGCTAAGAGTCAATGTAAATAGATTAAGCTCAATACTGTTCTTGAAACAAACTAATCAGAGTACAAATCTAAGTACAGTATTTCCCTCCGCTGGCAGATGCTGAGTCCTTCATTTATCTTTGAGGTAAGTTAGAAAATAAAAGTTTTTGAGGTGCAGAGGAATACTCAGGATGTCTTGCGGAGCTTCATATCCAAAGCACAAAGCTGTTTGAGGAATCCTCTGTTTGGGAAAATCCACCTGCGCTCTTTGACCTTATTGATGGCCTCGAGCAGAGTGTAACGTTGGTGGATCATAAGGTAGGCCAGGACGAGGGAGGCAGATCTGCTCACTCCAACTGCACAGTGGACAAAAACCCGAGCTGGTCAAGAAGAAGAAAAAAGGATTACAATGAGCCTAAAGCATGAGCTGATACTGGGATTTTATTCTAGATAACATGAGTGACTCGCAGAGAGGACTGCACAGTCTGAGATAAAACTGAGTGACAATAAAAGCAACACAATGGGTATTTACCACCAGCTGTGTCAAGTGCATTCTGAATGTACTCAGCGGAGGGAAAGAAATAGCGAGAGAGGTCAAAGGATGGCGAGTCATCGGCAGGCACTCCATAATAATCCACAGTGGAGCCGTAGAAGTCATGACTCCCCTGACAGTGCATCCTCCCATGAGCTACATTCACAACATGAGTGATTCCCAGCTTCCATAGACTGTAGCGATCATTGGCCACTGACCTGTGGACAGGAAACACATTAGAAAAGAAACAATCTAAGCATTATTTCATAAGCAAGAGACTTACATGTCGCCAATGAAGAGGTTAGGCCAAACTTCATCCACGTGATTCCCAAACCTTTTTCCTCCATACAAAATCTTCACCAAGTCTTTCACAGAAGGCGTGGCTACATTACTGTCCTGAATGTTCATAGCTGGCCGCACGGATATTTATAGCTTCATCAACATGACAAAATGCTCCCCTGAAACTCCACATTTGTATGATTTATCCTCCCAACTTTTACTCTCAATCACTGTTGAGGCTTTGCTACAACCATGTTGGTACTGACAAGGACAGGTGTTCCTGGTCTAAAATTAAATCAGCGACCCAAATCGTAAATGTTGGTCAACCTCACTCCTCTAAATCTTTTTACCACGATTTCTCACTGTGTGGCCTTTTAACTGCACTGAGAATCCCTTGCTTTTTCATCACAACAATCACTATACTGCAGTATTAAACACGCTGCACTTCCCTCTTTTCACCAATGGGTGTCGCTGTTGGTCAGCTGGAGATTTTTTTTTTTTCCCCCCTGTGCGCAGCTACTATAGACAATACCGCCTTGTGTTGTCAACAGTATTGCTAACCAGCGCGAAGCCTGGGCGAAATGATTCCCAACAAGCCCGTGTTATTGCAGCATACGTTTATACGATTTCTTCAGCTTCTTGTGAGATGCCATATAGCTAGCTAGCTGAGTAAATAAGTTTCTGTCTCGTCCTCTGTCACGTCTCAGTCCGGGTGAGTGAGCGTCAGGCACACGCATTGATTAAGCTAGCGAATAGCTTGCCAGCTAACGTTAGCTCAGAGCTGAATTAGCCTGGCTGGGGTTAGGGGTAGTTGTGGTAGAAGAAAGGATGCTTTTCGCTTGGTTTCGTGTCTCCCTCGGGCATGCTTGTCGTTACACACACCGTCAAAAACCAGGTTGGCTAATAATCTTACTACGATATAAAGAGAAGTTAGTGGAATTAGCTCCTGGCCCCACCTAATCGATAGCTAGTGGTGTGTGTGTGTGTGTGTGTGTGTGTGTGTGTGTGTGTGTGTGTGGGGGGGGCGGGGATGGATTTTAATGGACAAAGTTACTGACCGTCTGTACACCACATAAGCTGCAGTGTCAACATAACAAGTAGAAATGCTATCACTGTATGGGATGTCTTGGCAATCCTAGGTACAGTCTTGGGAGACAGGGTTTGTTGCCACTTACACTGAAGTTAAGCTTGATTTATTATTGGGTAGGATAGTGTGGGCTTGGCATAAAATTGGGGGATGATAAACCAGCAAGTCGTTATCCATAAGTAAGTTTTAAAGTCGCTGTCTGAGCTGGTGAACGGGGCTGCTCCTTCACCTCAATCCTCAGGGTGTGGTTCCCATTGTGAAAACTTATCTTAGCACACTCTTGCCACTGTTTGCCTCAAATAGCTGTGAATGCTTAGCTTGCCAGTGGGGCTCAGGAATTGTCTTAAACTTGTTATCACTTAACATTTTGTCAGAGTGTAGTTATTTTCTGTCTATGTGGCAGTCTTGCGTGGTTTGTTTGGAATTAGTATTGCTGATTCAGTAGAAATAAAGAGTGCCTAACAGTGCCTCCTTCTCCTTAAGAGTCCTTCTCTCATTGGCGAGGAAGTCACTAAGGAACTGATTTTGACAGTAAGGCAGAGTTCAGTTGTTTGAGTTGCACTTTTACAAATTTGACGTTCTTTTCTCCAGCCTTCAGAGTGAGGAGGAAATGACACAACTGAGTGTTCGTCGCTGGACGCCCAAACACGTCGCCAAGTGGCTGAAGGAAGAGGGTTTCTGTGACTATGTCGACTTGCTGTGCAACAAGCACCGACTGGACGGCACCAGTCTGCTCGCCCTCAGCGAGTATGACCTCCGCTCACCGCCTCTGGAGCTCAAAGTGCTGGGGGACATCAAGCGGCTGATGGTGTCCATCCGCAAACTCCAGAAACAGAATATAGAGCTGTTGGAGGAGCTGGGTCTGCCCTTTGATGGCCACTCTCCTACAGGCTCCGGAGGCAGTTTGGACTGGCTGTGTAATGGAGACTCAGGCAGAGACTGTGATAGCACTGACACAGCACCAGTGGGAGAGGAGTATCACCAGTACACTAATGGGAAGTACAAGCAGCAGACGAGGCGCCTGGACCCAGAGTACTGGAAGACAGTGCTTAGCTCCATCTATGTGGTCTTTGTGTTTGGATTCACGTCCTTTGTCATGGTCATAGTGCATGAGAGGGTGCCTGACATGCGCACATACCCTCCACTGCCAGATATTTTCCTCGACAGGTGGGTGTATGACAGCTAAGACTCTCTCAAGTCCTGTTTTTCTGACCTGGGGCACTGGGTAGCCCTTAAAAAAGCAACAAAAACAGTCAGCTGTGAAATTCCAAGGAGAGAGTGAAACAAAAACCAAAATATTTTTATCAACTGTATCACACCAGATGGTGGACATTATAATTGCCCTACTTCCTTGTAGCATGTTTCTATAATTGTCCTCAAATATTCCTGATGGGATAGCTTTGGTTCAGAGAGATCTTTTGAGTGTTTTTTTTAAGTGACCTACTTTGTAGTGTGACCTGTTGTCTATGACCAGCTTTGAGCTTTTTGTGGAATGTCTCAGTTTATTGGGAAAGCTAATTTCAGGTTAATGCCAGTGTGTGCTTGGCAATATAAAACATCTAGTGATTTTAGTGTTAAGGGTCCATATTTTGCTGAAATCAGTCATGGAACTTTGTACATAGATATCAGAACTTGTTTTGAAATATTTAAGCCATAACTGTAGTATTTTAACTTTCAGGGCTGAAGCTAATGGTTGATTAATTAATGATTTAAGTAATGAAGTCATTATTGATTGATCTGCCAATCTGACCGACAGTCAAACCCCCAAAGATATTCAATGTATACTACTATAAAACACATAAAAGCAGAAAATCCTCACATTAAAAAACTTAAACCAGAGAATGTTTGGAGTTTTTTTTATGATAAATGAATAAGTGATGATGAAAATCACTTATCGACTTTTAATTTAAGCACTAATATCTCTTTTCCACTCTTTCCAACAGTGTGCCTAGAATACCATGGGCCTTTGCCATGGCTGAAGCGTGTGGAGTGATCCTCTGTAATATCTGGCTGCTGGTTCTGCTGCTCCACAAACACAGGTAGAGTGCTGACAGTCTTTCACATCAGCGCAATGTCAGCGCAGGGATTCTGCTGTAGGATACCTAAAGTGTGTCACTTAATTCGGGACCACGGAGGACCCGAGCTAATGCTTTCTCACAACTTGTAGGTCCATCCTTCTGCGGCGCATGTGCAGCCTCATGGGGACGGTGTTCATGCTGCGCTGTATCACCATGTTTGTCACCTCCCTGTCTGTGCCAGGACAGCACCTGCAATGCTCAGGAAAGGTAACACCTTTTTTTTTTTTTTCCACTACATCTCTGCCTCCTTTTGGAAGATCACAGTACTGATAGTTTCTTCTCTCCCCCTTTTAGATATATGGTGACATGTGGGCGAAACTGCAGCGAGCTGTGGCCATCTGGAGTGGTTTTGGGATGACCCTGACAGGAGTGCATACATGCGGTGACTACATGTTCAGCGGCCACACCGTGGTCCTTACCCTGCTCAACTTCTTTGTCACAGAGTGTGAGTAGCCTCTAAATCTGAGGTCATTTTTGTCATTTTGCTTTAAATTCAGATCCACTTCATACCTCAAAAGCCCCTTTAAAGCTTTTGTTAAGATTAAGAGGGAATGGCCAATAAATAACTGATAATAAGTTGAATTGGTTGTCAGATTTTGGACACATTCATTCATGAAAACCAGAAGAAATTATGAGCTTTTATTAAAAGCTGTGACATTGGTGGGTTAAAGTAATAAGTCATGGGGAAGAAACTGTGACTATATTTGGCAACATTGTCCCTTTGTTGCCATCCAGTGTCTTTCAATGGTATTACAACTGAAATAAAAACTAGTATTCCTCAGTCTGACCTGGACAAAAGTAGTCCGTCTCGTATGATATGATATGATATGATATGATATGATATGATATGATATGATAGATGATATTGTGAAACTCCAAAAAACAACCAAAGAAAAAAACATTTAGAGTGTATCTTCAGCTGTTCTTTATTCTGGCTTCACAAACAGACACTCCACGGAGCTGGAACTTCATTCATACGTTGTCCTGGGTCCTGAATCTCTTCGGCATCTTCTTCATCTTGGCCGCGCATGAACACTACTCCATCGACGTGTTCATAGCGTTCTACATCACTACCAGACTCTTCCTGTACTACCACACTCTGGCCAACACCCGGGCCTACCAGCAGAGTCGACGAGCTCGCATCTGGTTCCCCATGTTCTCCTTCTTCGAGTGCAACGTCAACGGGCCCGTCCCCAACGAGTACTGCTGGCCCTTCTCTAAACCCACTGTGATGAGGAGGCTGATTGGATAAAAAGCAGCTTCAGCGCTAATGTCAGACACTTGATAGCCTGTGCTGTTTCGTCTGCTCTGTCAAGTTGCCAACTGAGGTGGTGTGTGTGTGTGTGTGTGTGTGTGTGTGTGTGTGTGTGTGTGTGTGTGTGTGTGTGTGTGTGTGTGTGTGTGATATCTTCATCAACAAAGACAACTGATGTGAATCCTGTTAGCACCAAGGCCTGATGGGATACACAGAGCCATACCTTCTTATATTCTGGGACTCATCTTCTAAACCTGCTTCACCTGTCAGCATTTTTAGGCGGATTATACAACATCTACAAACCCCTACATTCATTCATTTGAAACGTGAACACAGTGAAGACACGTCTCATGTATTGGTTGCTTATTTTTCTTTTAAAGGGATAATATTATTTTATGTAGCATGAACTGCATTTTTCAGTACCTCACAACTTTAAAAACATCCTCCTCTGTTAAGAGTATTTGGTGATTTAAAAAGAAGCCACTAAAGACTCTCAGGCAGCAGTCTACCTAATCCTTCCCAGCAGTTTGCTACTTTCTGTGCAATCACAAATACCTGATCATTTCAAGGTTTGGATCTGGATTCTTAGTCTGAAAGTTTTGTAAAACATAACACTATGGACCACTGTTAAAGCAATATGTAAAGATCTACATTTCACTGTTGCTATTTTCTGTATAGCAAAATAATGTTCTACATGTCAACAGGTCTTTGCCATTGTTTGAATTTCTTTTTCATTCCTTGAGATTATGCTTACGTTTTGACAGTGTTACTAAATGTTGACAGAGTAATTCATGCCTCGTTGAAAGATGCAGTAACATAGAGCAGTTCTCTGTTGATATTGTTCACTTAGCGCTGCATTTTCCTCACCAGACGTAGTAAAGATGCATTCAAGGAAACGTCACAATCGGCCAAAAACATGGAATCAAAAGATTTTTTCCAGCTGTCTTAAATATCTAATTCCATTTGCCAATTACCTTGAGTGTTATGATAGGTTTCTCCGTGTAGAAATGTCCCAAATCTTTCATGTTTACTGTGCGATAGTTGTATAGTGTTTTTTAAAAAAAAGAATAAAAAAAAAAAAAACCATAGAGTGTAAATGACCAGATTTGTGTAGAATTTGAAATTTCCCTGATAATAATCCTTTAACATCAATCTGTTGTAAGGGTTCTTGAAAAAGGACCTATAAATTTGTATGTATTTGTTTATATTAATTTATTTAATTTTGTAAATGTCAATAGGTATTTTTATATTTCATATACAGTGTTACAGCAACATGCACATGGAGAAATATGTTTACAGTTGCTCTTAACTTTGTATTTGTTGGAAACACAATGTGCTTTTTAAGTGTAATGTTTATTTCAGATGGGCCTCTGCATTTCATGGAGTGAAACTTGCCAGATGTTGTAATTGATTCGGTCATTGGCACGTTATAATACATGATTATTGTAAATGGAGTTGACAGTCTACAACACATCCTTTCAGTGACGAACGATGCTGTTGTGTTCATGCGCTCCTGCAAAGCCACATTACTCGTTTCATGTCTTGTTCAGTCATTTCCATCATTAAAGAGCTGAAATCAAAGACTGGGTTGTTTTTTTTGCTTGTTTTGTTTTTTTTTTTTTTTACCCCCACTCACTGCACAACCATATAATAAATGTTTGCTATGTGCATAGTTATCAGCATGAGAGAGATGCAGCTCATAAAACAGTGGAAAACTAATATTCACTGTGTATTATCTTAGTATTATAAATGCTGTCAATATAGGCATTTACTGTACATATATTTTATTTTTTGATTTTTTGATTATTGTATTAGGAACTTTTATATTAAACTGTTATTTATATTACTTATATTCTCATTATATTTTACAAATACTGAGACTTTGTTTTCCTTGCAATTGTTGTTATTTATACCAGGTTCATTAGCATTAGCCACATTTGCGTATTGGTTACCATGGTGATTTAGAGGTATTCCTCTTGCCGGTAAGCAGCACAAACAGGGCATGAAAAACATCGACTTTCACACACTACAAGAATTACTGTTTGCTGTGGCCAAACTACAGAACATACAAATTCTCAATGAATTTACCGAGAATTACAAAATGATCATCTCGCCGTTATTTCCGACGGGCACGAAATAAGCAGCTATAATCGGGGTCCTGCGGCGCCGAGGTCAGGAGGGTGTTTGTTGCGGTGTCTCCTCCATATCGTCCTACACCGGTTCCTTCTTCTCGCTTTTATCTTCATCCCTCTCCTGTCTCACAAAGTTGACAGCAACACAATCGACAGCGGTGACATCCGGTAAGTCTTTGGCTCTTTATTTACTTCAATTGCTCTCGTTTTGTATTTAGTTTGAATGTCAGCAAGGTGGTTATCAAACGCCCCCTACCCTCCTCCTGTGTTCAAACTCCTTCAAAATACTGACACAGGCACCAATGACAGTGTAATATGTTTTAATGTTGGCAGCGGTTACCAAAAAAAAAAAAACCACTATTTGAGTAGTAAAACTTACCAATAAGCAGTCCTCAACTGCGCATGCATCAAAGTTTAAGCCTTAACCGGTTTAATTCAGTGTTATTCTGCAAAAGGCTGCTCTGATAATGATATTCATGCCGAGGTATAACAGCTACGTTGAAGAAAAGGTCACGTTAAATGGCGTTTTTGCGAGGTGTGCTGGTTACTGTAAGCATACAGTGACAAGCCTCCGGTCTAACCTTGACATTGAGAAGCCGTGACAGCAGAATCTGGGAGACATGGAGACCGTGTGACTCAGGTGCTGCAGGTGTGTGGCAAAACTAAAATAAAAGGCCTGTGACATCCCTTTATAACTATTTAATAGTATAAGCTTCGTCACACTGCAAGGAATACTATCAGTTTTTCTAATGTTGGTCATTTTAAGTAAATTAAGTCTTATAATAGTAGTAAGGAATCGTAAAATGCAAATTACCTCAAGGCAGGGATGCTGGAAGTCAGTCAGAGCTGGGGGCTGCTGAGAGAAAATCTGTCTATATACTGGCATCATGTTAAATGCATTCATCATTTTTGCTTTAATTTGAATGGCCAGGATCATTTATAGCCTATTTATGAATTATTAACAATTACACATGGTTTTTAAACTTTTAAGGGGATAAAAATAATAAAAAAAACAAGGCAAAACCTCGTTCCTGCCACAAATACCAGTGTACATATGTAAATCCGAGTAAAAAATAAGGAAGTCACGGGTTTAAACATTTTCATGAAATAATGGTTTACGTTATGTCCCGATTTGAGGGGGTGCTGCAGCCCCCTCAGCACCCCTACCTCCACCGTGCTGTACTGCACAAATTCCCAGAAAAGATATGTGGACATTAACTTGCTCTTTTATACGTCCATCAGTTTGCAGTTGCACATTTTTCTGACACTGTACACATGCTTAGTTTCAAATTTTTGAAGTGTCCTTTTTGTGACAGGCAAAATGGCAGTTCCTCCAGCATATGCAGACCTTGGAAAATCAGCGAAGGACATCTTCAATAAGGGATATGGTAACTGGAAGCAAGATAAAAGGCAGTTTTATAAGTGTGTATTTATTGACCCTCAGAGGACAGGACGGCTGTTTAAAATGCGCCACCCAACTCAGAAAGTAGTCCCTCACTGTCATTGTCCTTGCAGGTTTTGGACTGGTTAAGCTTGATGTGAAGACAAAGTCTTCAAGTGGAGTGGTGAGTGACTATAATATGCATTGTAGGTATTATTAGTTGATTTGAGGTCACATATATAACAATATCAGTCTATATGTTGGCTGATAAGTAACAAGAAATTGCAGTACCCAAATGAAATGGATTCATTTCCTCTTGTATTCCCTTTTAGGAGTTCAAAACGTCCGGCTCATCCAACGTAGACACCAGCAAGGTCACTGGAACCCTGGAAACCAAGTACAAGTGGGCTGAGTACGGGCTGACGTTCACAGAGAAGTGGACCACAGAAAACACACTTGGAACAGAAATTTGCGTAGAGGATCAGGTAAATTGAAAACGGTGCTGTGTTGCTGATCACTAATAAAATCGCTCTAAATGAAGTCTGACTGATGGAATGATCTTCTTTAGATCACCAAAGGGCTGAAACTTACTTTTGACACTACATTCTCACCAAATACTGGGTAAGCTACTGTTTATATGTTCATTGTAAAATAGTGACTTGCAATCATTGTATAGAGAATAGCCTTCTAACTCCACTTTATTTTCTTAATTCATTTCACAGCAAGAAGAGTGGCAAGGTCAAGACTGCTTACAAAAGGGAATACCTCAATGCTGGTGTTGACGTAGATTTAGATTTTGCTGGTCCTACTATCCATGGAGCAGCAGTGGCCGGCTACGAGGGCTGGCTGGCTGGCTACCAGATGACCTTTGACTCGGCCAAATCCAAGATGACCCAGAGCAACTTTGCAGTTGGTTACAAGACCGGGGACTTCCAGCTCCACACCAATGTGTACGTTTTAGGATCAGCAAATATTTAAACCAAGCAGAGTAAATAACTTAACTGTAGAGTGACACAACCAGTTGATTGTTGACAACATTGTTTGCTTTTTTTTCTCTCTCAGAAATGACGGTTCAGAGTTTGGTGGATCCATTTACCAGAAGGTAAACGACAAACTGGAGACCGCTGTAAATCTCGCCTGGACAGCGGGCAGCAACGGCACTCGCTTTGGAATTGCTGCCAAATACCAGTTAGACTCCAGTGCCTCCATATCAGTAAGTTTGTTTGTTTGTTTGTTTTTGTTCCTCTAAGGAAGTCCTGTTTCATATCCTGTTTATCAGCAGGTAACTCAGAAATTTATTAACAGTTCAGGGAAATATAAGTTGGAAATTAGGTCATAGGCCGAGGAACAAGTGATTGGTGTTTGCAAGGATCTCTGTTTATTGTTTACTGACTGAAATGTTTCAAGGTCCAGTGTTTAGTATTTAGGAGGATCTATTGTCAGAAATGTAATCTAATATTCATATATATGTTTTCATTAGTGTATAATCACCTGAATATACAGGAACGTGTTTCTGTTACCTTAGAATGAGCTGTTTTATCTCCTCTAATGGAGTCTGCCATGTTTCTAACCCAGACAGTGGCTGTAGAAATGGTCTTTCGCGTTTTTCATGAGCGTCAGAGCCCCTGTAGGTTTTCCTTCACACTTCACAGCTGGTTTTCATTCCCAGGTCATCAAATACAAACACCAGTGGTGTTCAGTTAGTTGCAGTCTGCAACTTCACCGTTAGATGCCGCTAAATCCTACACACAAGTACATCCAGTATATCAAATAATAATTAGATGTGTTAGTTTAGCATTGTAGCATTACAGGCAGTACCGTATGTACTCTTTGAATGCTAGTTTACTGATTTAATGTGTTTTCTCCAGGCTAAGGTGAATAATGCCAGCTTGGTAGGAATTGGATACACCCAAACCCTCCGGCCTGGTAAGAACCATCTGTTGTCTAATATTCAATTGAAAACGGCTACAAACACAAAAATAAACACATATATTTTCTTTGTTTTTCAGGTATGAAACTACTTCTCTCTGCACTGGTGGATGGGAAGAACATCAATGCTGGTGGTCACAAACTTGGTCTGGGCCTGGAGTTGGAGGCATGAGGATCTGCTCCGCCATTTCATAAGAAGAATAGGAATATTAGCTGAATCTGATCCTGAGCGTTCCTGTCTGGTCAGCAACAGATATTTTAAAGAGATGAAGCCAAAACGAAAAAAAAAGAAGCCCAATTCTCGAGCACTGTTAAACTTTTCCACCAGCCTCCTTTTCATTGTGGTCACAATACGTAGTCATGTTTCAATCACATGTAATTATAAATCAGTGACTCCTTCTGCCAATGTATCCTCCATAGTGATAGAAAAATCCCTCCTCTGGGTGCACCATGTCCAGGAATGGCTTCAAAAAAGACAAAACCTTATTTTGCTGAAGTGTGATAGCGTAGAATGTAAATCCGAGCTGTTACTTTTGCACAGTAGAACATACCTTTATTTAAGCTCTTTCTCCTGTTTTATTTGCACATTTTATTTGTATTTTAGTTGTGATGGTCTGCCTGCTGGAGGTCACTCCAACAACATATGCTTATCAAGATCAAAGCCAATGTATTGGCCAGTGTTCACTTATCTTTTTAGAGAGGCTTAATTGTGCTGTGTGATGAGACCTCCGCTACCTGAAATACCTGCTAAGTTCCAAGATAATGCTAAATGGATGTTCCTTTCCTCAGTGTGACTTGAGTGAAAGAATATCCGACACTTTTATTCCCATTTTTTGAGGACTGTGACACTAATTTGGAAGCGGTTTGTGTGTTGGCGTGTCTAACCTTTACAATAAAGTCCTGAAATCAACCATCATCCTCTCCTGTAATTTGACATAATACATAATTCATCAAACCAGATAAATAATATATAATGATAAAGTCAAACACAAAATATAATTAAATTCCGTCACTATTTTATTCAAACATTACAACTTTAAGAAGACCTACAATATCACTATGTTATATTCTTTAAAAATTACTTAAAAATCATAGCACTTATCAGACATTTGTCCTATAGTTTGATAGCCAGTGTGAGACCATCTCCCACTGTGAGCATGCTCAGGCTGACTCGAGTGTCTCGGTGCAACTTCTTGTTCAGCTTGTCGATGGCCACAGTGTCTTCGTCATCCGGGGAGGGATTCACCACCTTACCACCCCACAGCACCTGAATGAAAACAAGTTTAGATTTATATATATGTATGTATTTAACAACTTGAAATATCCTACTTTGTCTCGGATGGAGCCCTTACGTTGTCAATAGCAATGATGTCCCCCTTTCCTCAACAGCTGCAGAGACTTCTCGTAGTAGCGGTCGTAGTTAACTTTGTCTGCATCGATGAAGGCAAAGTCAAATGTTTCAGCCTGACCAGCAGACAAGAGATCATCTGAAAGAAACAAGATGGAAAATATATAAATATATGTAAATTATACTTCAGGTTCTTTCTAACAGCTATACCACAATATACTGAATCTGTCACCCTACATCTGTGTTAGATAAGAACTCATTTGGACAGATCCTTTCAGATTCCTAATAACTTGAAATTAAGTGCAATAAGTTCACTTTAAATTTATTGCACAGCATTTTTACCCATTGGCAAAGAAAATATATTCTGGTGGCAGAGAAATCAGCAAACAAGATCTTCCAAAAAACGGACTTTTGTTAAATGTAAGAAAGCTCCTTTTATACACTTTGACTATGAAAGCAACATGCACAAAGTAATCACTCTGCCCAAGTTAACATCACATGACCATATTTTGAGCTTTCTCTGGCTCTATTGAACATAAGATAACATCTTATTCTAACTTTTTACATTATAACTTCATAAATAAATAAATAAACAAACAAACAGTTCCCAGCTTTAGAGTAGTTTTATGAGTTTGAAAATAAAACTTTCTAACAGTGAAGCAAATGCAAACCTGTTTTGGTGATTTGAAGTGAAATTATTGAAAATTATTAGAAACAAATTGGTATCTAGGCAACAGTATAGGCATTTCACTCATTATGTATACTGGTTAATAAAGTTTAATATATATATATATATACATTTATATATATATATAAAAAACAACGCCACGTGATCCCGGTGACCTCTTCGATGACATATGCACGTGATTTGACGTCGCGCCACGTGGTCACGGTCACTTCTACCGTCTGATTCAAGTTGACAGCAACACTTCAGAAACTCTCCTAAAATGTTCAAAACACGTTTGTGTATTGAAGTCATTCGAGAGGAATTGATTTCATAAACTGAGGAGAATAAAGAGAAGAACAGAAAACGGATCTCGTTGACGGGATTCAGGTACCGAAAAGTATTTTCAGGTAAAACCATTTTGGTCTGCAGCTGTGATACTTAACCTCTGACTAACTTAGCTGGATGGGTTTGTTTTGCCAAATAATTATTAAAATGAAATTGGTTTCAGCTTTCAGATTTCATTCAATCCTACTATTAACTGTGAAGTAAATAATTTAGAAACACCTCTGGAACAATATACAGTGTGTTTTGTCATTTAAAGTGCAATTTGAATTATTATAAGGATTTGTTTTAATCAGATCTTTTACTGTTTATTTCTCAAATAGATTTCCAGGAGTTTTTCTTGACAATCCAGGACAGCCCTTGCTTACAAACTGTCATATAAACTGCAGTTTCAGGTAAAAGTGGCTACATTAATGTGGCCACAGCCCATCAGTAACAGTTCAAATCAAGCAGAATTTATTGTATTTTACAGAAAAATAATCTTGCATGGAGATATGAGAATTTTGCTCTAAGATCTGGGAAAAACACAGACTCAGTGCTGAAACCCATCACTGCACTCAGTTCCACTTTGCATCTGGTGAACCCGCTTTAAAGTGTCATACAGTCGAGTTTCAAACTAAATACACACCCAGGTTTACATAGGCTAAAAATAGAAACAATTCCGGGACAACAGATTATTTCCTGGATATTTGGTCATTTTAATCAATTACCAGGTGTTTACATGAGTGGAAAACTAGTCTCTAATTTTCAAGCTTTTCCAGGTTCTACAGGACGTGTGGGAAACCTGAAATGTGCATCCAATATGGGACATTTTACCCGTAAAGTAGTAACTTTAACATATACTGTAGCATCATCAATTTATAAAATATTAGGTTACAAAAATTGCAGTGGGAATTTGTCTTACAATATATCTATGATTATTTTTTTCTGTGGCATAAACTCCTAGGAGATTTAATCATTCACATGTCTCAGCTGCCTATATTAATGACTATTAATCAGGGACGTGTGCAGACATTTTGGGAGGCAGGGGATCAAGGCAAAAGGACACAATGGCGCTTAAGACCAGGTACCCCTAGAGAGGTTTGAGCAGTTGTGGATGTGAAATACTGTTAATCTCATGGAGATGTATTAATTCAGTAGAATTATCTTGAACAACTTTAATAGGATAGGTAGGTAAGGTAAGAAAACTGGTGTATTACTGTACCCAGAGTTTTCAGTGCTGGCTGTATGCGTAGATCAATTTTTTGCTCGACTCCAGCCTGTAAAAAAAACCAAACAAAAACCAAGAATATTTTATAAAGTAATAGTGCAGCAGATAAATTGTCTGGTAACTGATGAGAAACAATGTAATGCAGTACATAGGGATGTCTTTTGTGAGTGTATTTCACTTTACACTTTCACATTAGAGCCCCACCGATATGTCATTTTTGAGACCAATATCGATTTCAGAGAGGAAAATTCACACATTACTCATATGGGAGTCAATATAGTGAAGCATTTTTTTCCTGTATTATTAGAGAGAAAAATATCTGTGTCGATAATATCAGTCGGGCTCTAATTTGCATGCAGTCGGTTATGCAAACGTGATGTTGTTTACAATAACCTGGTGTTGTTATTTATCTGGGTTACGATGAATCTAAATAAGATGCAGCTGACTGTAAGTTTACATATTGTACATAAGGTATGCATGACTGATTATTACTGGTCCAGTAGTCGTCTTTTATCACACAAAAGACACTGAAGTCTGTTCCACATGGAGGTGAACAGAATTGCTTCAAGCAGAACTACAGTATGCCTATTACCTGTGGCGTATGAAAATCCTCTGCACTGATCAGCACTTTGCAATATGGGAACAATACAGTAATATTACACATAATACAATGAACCACATGATGAAACAGTGTTATGACAAATAATAAACACATAGGTGGTAAATGGTACCTCTTTCCAGAAGGGTTTGCCAATATTGGTGTAGTCTTCACTGATGTCACATGCCACCAAAACTCCATCGTCGGGCAAAGCCAGCGCCATGTTCAGTGTGTTGTAACCGGTGTATACACCTGCAATGGGAGGGCACGAAGGGAGAGATCAGTACACGCAGTAATGTGTCTTTTCAAAAGAATTTGAGTCAAGTGACGACAAACCAGTAAACATCATGAGGAAAAACTATCAAAACTGTCCCCTTATACAATTTTTAAGGAGCAGGTAATTGCAGGTATACAAATACATGTATTGATATCAACAAAAAACAGTCGGACGAGTTATGGACGAGTCCTCTTCCGGCCCTGCTTCTACCCAGCAGCACCCCTTGACTAAACCAAACAAGATGAAGTCAGCTGTTCAGGTTAATGTTTTTGAACCTCTTCTATTGCTTTTCCTAGCTTATATAACACATGTTGAATTGTGCTCCATAAATAAAGCTGCCTTCCCATTTAGTGCATATACACGCACAATGCAATTTGTCTTCGTAACCTGGTTTCTTGTGTGCCTGTAAAGGTACTCTGTGTCTCTAAAGATTGTGGCAGATGTGCACATGCTTTACACACCAGATGTGATGCTATGTCTGAGACCCTTACCAATCTCTAGTGCTTTCTTGGCTTTTATTAGTCTTGCCAGATTGGCCATGAACTGCGACTGCTCACAGGCGACCATCATGATGTTCCAGGAATCTTCCATTGTCCTCTGAAAGGCAATGGGCCGATAATTAGACCGTGAAACGTGATTCAATCTTATGACATCGAGTGCTTAATTGTGCCAGAGCACGGCAGTTTTCCCGGATACCGAGACATCCTCACCAATCTAAGGCTTTTCAGGACCGGATGCTCCCTCATGGAGTGATTGAGGACGTACTGCATCAGTGGGTTGTCTTTCTCGCAGTGACTTTTGGTGATGCTCATGGTGGGAGATTTCTTTTTTCCTGAGGGTGAAAAATGAACCATGATACAATTATATGGATCTTAAGAGCACGATGATGCCATGGGACCTTACAATCCAGCCTGTGCATCCTTCAGGGAACCGAAGTCTGGCCTAGTTGATGTACAGTAGTTATTTGATTAAGATAAAAACTTAAATGATCTCAGTAGGGAAATGCAATTATTGCAGCAGCAGCAACAGATCCAGATAAAGGAAATTGGAAGACAATATAGTTTGACGTCTTGAAGGCAATGCAATGAATCCGTCTAGTATGAGACATATGTGTCCCTACGTTTCTGGATATTTACGTTTTTTAAAGGCTTTGCAGTTTTGTAACAAGGATCAATAGAAGCTGGAAAGGAAAGGTGAATGAATTAATGAGTTGAACAGACTTTGTACTGGGCGTTAATCTGTACAAACTTGAGGCGGTATCTCTGGAAAACACGTTATATCATACTGATAAGAGGTGGAAAAATAGGATTTACACGATCATGCATATCTTTTAATAAATACACTACTGTTAATACATTCAATTATGTTTTTCTATCCATGTAATACCCCGGTAATGCACAGGATTTCATGCTTAACTGTGGGTTATGTAATCTCAGCTGGAAAAAGGGTGCTTTAAGGTGGCATAACGTTAACAGTCAAATTTGGGTCACTCCGTGCAGAATTGATTTGTTCCCTTAAATCTTAATCTGTGAGATTTTAAATCTTAATTAACATAAACCCAAACTGAAAAGCTCACAGTACAATAATGGAAGTATATTATTGTCACACACAAAGCCTAAAGGAGAATATTTATTGCATAATTCTCACTTGTTAAACCTTAACAATTCCCCAACATATACTAGATATTATACTTGTATAAGCTTTAAATAAACAAGCATTAATCCTCTGTTTTGAATATGTGAAAGAACTGCTGGAGCCTTTGTTTGCAAGTCAAAGCAGGGTTAATAATAAAAGCCACCTTTAAACCCTACATAACTTTTATATTCCTACTTTTACTCTACTTTACAGACTTTTTCCCTCCTCTGTGCAGATCCTACGTCTGCACTAAACCCCCATTATACTTCGATTAAACAAGTCCATGTGACTGATCTGTCCGACTGATTTACCCACACACACACACACACACAGACAGACAGGTGACCCGCGGTGTATTAGCGAACAACTTATCTTCTCTTACCAAAGAAATAACCGGCGACAAAAACAACTCCCAGCGTGATGGATCCAACAAACGCTTCCCTGGAAACACTACGAAAAGACATGCTTTTACTTTTATCGATAACTATGACAGAGCCACGCGATTTAAAAAAAAAAAAAAAAACCAATTGACCCCTCCGGTTCAGGCTCTTCCGCGTGGGCTGATCGTTGTACCGTAATGACGCGAATAGAGAGAGAAAGGAGGAGGACGCGCAAGCTGCGACGTGACCGGCATGGAAAAGCGTCTGTCGCCGCACACCGTGCGTACTTCCCCGTCCACTACCTACCATCATGTGACTGCCATTGTGTTGTGTTGAGGTTGTTGTTTTTTTTTGGCAGGGATGCAACGAGTGTAGCGACTGTAGCTAGAGCCAACCACCGAGGGGAAAAGCCCAGTGTGCACTTTATATAAACACAATGACATTATACTACATTTCTCTGTAAGTGAGTGTGTGTGTTACAGAGCTGAGATCTGACAGGTGGAAATTTAAAAAAATGCAGCTGCAAAACCCGATGCATGAAAAAAGGAAGAACTCACCACAGAAGTTCCGTGTAGAGGAGACGATGGGTCCGCTGGCTCTGAGAGGACGACTGTTTGAATTCCTGCTCCAACGAGCATTACAAATTGGGTCAGTCGTAGAAAGTAATGACGGTCATATGACCTGCAGCAGCCCTCATGATAGGATTGTGAAACGGACGCCCACTGTTACGACTGACTGCTGAGTGGGGCCCCTTTCATAGGGAGATGTCAGGACACATTACTGAACAATAGTGGACGAAGTATTCACGTACTGTATAACACAGTTTAGTTCATTCAGAGTGCAGAAATAGTAGCAACAGGATTTACTTTGAGAATAAAAAGCAACCTTTTTAATCCAGAGTGATCACATTCCAATGTTTATTCTATTATTATTATTATTATTATATAAGATGATTGTGTTATTATTACAGTTGGATTAAAGTGTACACAGTGTTGATCTACTGTAGTAGAGTAAAAAGTATAAAGTTGCATGACAATGGTAATACTCAAAATACAATACTTATAATATTACTTTTCTGAATTCTGAATTTCTGAAACCTTGCTCCATTTTCTGAAAACAGTAAACACAAAACCCTTCAAGCACTATTTACAAAACCTCGGACTCCTCGAAACTCCTTGAAACTTTCGCCTCAAAACAGATTTACTTGTGCTCAAAACCAAACACTGCTCTCAAATCATAAACAAAGCGATCGAAATGATATACACTATCAAGCAGTCAGTAAACAATACACCAAAAAATAGAAAACACATTTTCCGTCATTGTCTTTTGATGAATGAAAACATGTTCTATCATAGTAGCTCAAAATTGATCAGAAATTATATTCTGCTTTGCTCTTTGCAATTTTTTTTGTTCTTCCTCCTCCTTGTAACCCTATTTTTACAGTACTGTACCCAGCATCTCACAAACTTGTCCTTTGTTTCTGTGATACTGTAATTCTTGTTCTTTGTTGATATGAACCTGCAACCAGTCAAAATCTATCGAGCAGTCAGTACTGTAAACAAATGGAAAGCACAATGTTCAGGGCCAGACAATTTCCATTCTTAGACTTTCTCTGTCCCACCTTCAACAACCTGTTTGCTCTCTGAACTATCTTATATTGGTTGTGTCACATGATTTGAAACAAGTGAAATCAATTTTGAGTGGTCGTGTTTAATCAATGACATATGTTCTCTATTTGTGTTTGATTGTTGCCACTTGTGTTTACCAGTATGGATGACATGTGCATTAGAGTGCAGAATGTGTTTAGAGTTCTGCTGGAAAAGTCTAAGTGAGATCTGCAAATTGTGTTTTACCATGTGAAATGATTTAAGACAACAGACTGCACATTAACTAAATGAGTTCAGGCAACTGCGAACTTTGTTCAGCCAATGGGTTTTAGTGTTTTAGCGATTGAGAAAAACTGTAATTGATCCTTGAGGGGGAAATTTGTTTGTTACAGTTGTTCTGCTCACACATGGTAAAGAATAGAAATAATACTTATATTACAATATCTAACACAATATACAGAATAGAAATGTATTTATAGATAAGTAAAAGTAAGGATAAACATAAAAATGGAAATTTAAATATAACAAGAGCCTAAGAGATATAATAAGGTAATAAGAGCCTATATACAAAGTAAATGTAAACATATTCCACAGTGACAGAAATTAAATAGCAATGCGTTTATTGAATTGTACCCAAGTACAGTATAAATAAAGCCCCAAGTGGCTGTGAAATCATTAAAGCAAACACACAAATTGTCCAAATAGGACAATGTCACATAATTTAATGAATTGAATGAAAATCAATGAGCTTCAAATATCAACTTTACAGTTTAAGTGTAATCTGCAGTAGGTTACTAGAACCAGTTAGAGTTAAATTTTATTTTTCATTTAAGTTAGTCATCCATTCAGATATAAAAAAAAGACATAAAAACAAGATGTACTATATTTTTTAAGTCATATTATGTTTTTTTTTTTATTACCATTTTAACTAGAGTAACATGTGATTCACCCTTTCTGGCCGAACCCAGTTAATGATCAGGCTAAATTAAGTTTCTATGTGACCTCAACAATAAAGGCATCTGTCATGAGTAGATAAGAGATAATTTGACTGTCTGCAGCTATCATGACGTCACTTTATAACAGACACATGCTCTCCAAGACCTTTTGTTGAAAGATGTAAGGAGACACAAGTCACAAGGTCCCTGTGAAAGCACCATCACAATAGGACAAAATGCTATATAATATAAAAACAAACTACATTGACACCCTGTATTATAAATGTTAAGGCAATTTGTCTGTTAACACGAATAGAGCTGCAACAATTAACCAGCAACTCTTTTGATATCTGATTAATTGTCTTAAGTTATTCTTAAATCTCTAAACACTCTTTAATTCCAGCTTCTTCGATGTGTTTTTTTGCTTTTTTTCTGCTTTATATCATCGTAAAAAATGAATATATCTGAGTTAGGACTGTTTATCTGCCAAAACAACACTTTGATTTGGAAATTTTCACGTTTGTCTCGCATTTTATAGACTAAATGATGAATTGATTGATTGAAAATATAATTTAAGTTCAGTTCTAAATGTAAACACACATTTCCGCTGTGTCCCAGAGCAAACAGTAGGCTTATGAATTTATGGTTTATTCTGAGATACAGTAACTTACCATATTGGCATTTTCTACATAAAATGTAAACATATTCACTGTACAGATTTTCAGATTACACTATGTTGTAAGTATTTAGAACTGTATTCACATAAATGATGATGCACTAAATTAATTTCTACATAACCATAATGTATCAGTCATTTACAATAACGGCTCTATCACCTTCTGTTTTATCATTAATGGATTACAGTTTCTTTGTATTGAAAGATGTTGAGGACATTTATACACAGAAATATAATGTGACAATAAAACTAAACTGTATAAGAAAAGCTAATACAGGTTACTGTATCTGTGAACCCTGCAGGGAAGAAACAGGAGTGTGTTTTATTCTATGGGAGTTACCATAACTGTAAATTTCATTATTTTGCATACAGTGTTAACAATTAATATTGACTCAAAGTTTGAGTGATGTAGTGACAGCAATAGACTGAAAAGGATCTGTTTAGGTGCTTGAAGAGTTTATTTTTAAAAAGTAAAGTGTAGCATTGTGAATTTCTACAATAATGAAGGATAATTAAGTAGCTGGAATAGGTGAGGAACTTCTGTTATAGAACAGGATGATTGGCCTTTGATACAAGTACAATATTATATATAAATATTTATAACTTGATAAACATACAATAAAATAACTGTTTTATAACACACAATTGTCCTTCCTGTATGAAATTAAATAGACAATACAAAAAGTTGAAGGTGAAGAGGTGTAATGTGGGTGTTCATACAGAGAGGGGCAGTGTTGTCAAATCAATGAAGCTCACTTATACTGGTGTTACACATGTTGGCTTTGTCTCCAATTAATAATACTGATGATAGGAAGAAAATAGTTTGGTGTTAGTCTGTTGTGATGGATGTATTTGCACTTCTGACATGACCTTCAACTGAAATGACGAAGCAGAATTAAAGGAATATTTGTGTTAGACAAACAATGGTATTAGTGATAAGAAATAGTTATATAATAGTTAAGTGTGGTATAGTAATGCCAAACCTAATGACTAGCACTAGACAAACAATCCTTTAAATCTTTAAAATGTCTTAATCATCCCAAAATGTACATACATCCCTAAATATAAACTCAGGATCAATAAATCTCTTGATAAATGCTGAATGCTTTCATTAATCTGTACTTAAATCAAAATCAAAAGAGCAGACTAAAGTGAATTAGCAACGTTGAGGGCTGCACTTTATTTTATTCCTTAAACTTATTCCATGCCCATTTCATTTGAATCATAATATAAAAAGTTTAAAGGCTTTTAACGTATACATTTAAGAGTTTCAGTTCCCCAGTGAATGAAAAGCATTGTGAAGAAACACCTCATATACTGTGGAGGTAATGTAGTTTACAGTTTTATATTTTCTTATCTTCAGTAGTAAAGGGAAGCCGCAGATAGAAATGTATCCACCAGAGGGGGAAATGAGCCTTCTTTTTTTAAGTGCTTCATATCAGACAGTATAATATATAATACACAAATATTTCTAAACAATGGGATAGAGACTGTATCACATACAAATTGTGGCAACAAATCCAGTGCATGTGAAGGCCACAGCGCTGGCACAGGTTCCTGTGTGACAGTGACAGTGAGCAGAGGGTAGCATTCATCCTCACAGGGAACAAGATTTGGACCTAATGCTGTTTTCTAAATTACACCTCCTTGTACCTGCTCTACCTGACGGATAGCTGGCTATCTGATGCACTCTCTGCTCACCGATCTCCAGTTCCCAGGCAGCCCTGGCTGCTGGCCTGCCTGCCACCGCTGCTGCTTACTGACAAAGTCCGGACAGCAGGGGAGGGCAGAGTATTCCTCCAGGGGGGGCTGGGACACTTCCAGCTGGGCTGTTGAGGTGTGGAGCTCGCCTCGGGGTAAGCCTCTCGTGTGAGTAAACACCATAACAATCCAGCAGAGAGACACGCTCCCTGGGTCGGGGAATTTTCTAGTATGCCAGAACAATGTCTGACACTGTTGTGATGATTGAATTTTATATG